CATCTCACACCAGTTAGAATGGCGATCACTAAAAAATCTGGAGACCACAGATGCTGGAGAGGATGTGGAGAAATAAGAACACTTTTACACTGTTGGTAGGAGTGTAAATTAATTCAACCATTGTGGAAGACAGTGTGGTGATTCCTCAATGACCTAAAAATAGAAATCCCATTTGACCCAGCAATCCCATTACTGGGTATATATCCAAAGGATTATAAATCATTCTACTATAAGGACACATGCACACGAATGTTCATTGCAGCACTATTTACAATAGCAAAGACCTGGAACCAACCCAAATGCCCATCGATGATAGACTGGATAGGGAAAATGTGGTACATATACACCATGGAATATTACGCAGCCAACAAAAACGATGAATTCGCATCCTTTGTAGGGACATGGATGAACCTGGAAACCATCATTCTCAGCAAACTGACACAAGAGCAGAAAATCAAACACCGCATGTTCTCACTCATAGGCAGGTGTTGAACAATGAGAACACATGGACACAGGGAGGGGAGCACTACACACTGGGGTCCGTTGGGGGGAAATGGGGGAGGGACCGGAGGTGGAGAGGTGGAAAGAGATAGCATGAGGAGAAATGACAGATACAGGTGAGGGGAAGGAAGGCAGCAAACCACACTGCCATGTGTGCACCTATGCAACAATCTTGCATGTTCTTCACATGTACCCCAAAACCTAAAATGCAATTAAAAAAAAATCTCAGCTACTCAGGAGGCTGAGGCAGGAGAATCACTTGAACCCGAGAGGCAAAGGTTATGGTAAGCTAAGATTGCTTCATTGTATTCCAGCCTGGGCAATAAGAGCGAAAAACTGTCTCAAAAAAAAAAAAAAAAAAAGGCCCAGCGCAGTGGCTCACACCTGTAATCCCAGTATTTTGGGAGGTAGAGGCTGGCAGATCACCTGAGGTCGGGAGATCGAGACAATCCTGGCTAACACGGTGAAACTCCATCTCTACTAAACATACAAAAAATTATCCAAGCATGGTGGCACACTCCTGTAGTCACAGATACTCAGGAGGCTGAGGCAGGAGAATCACTTGAACCCAGGAGGTGGAGGTTGCAGTGAGCTGAGATCACACTACTGCACTCCATCCTGGGCAACAGAGTGAGACTTGGTGTCCAAAAAAAAAAGACATTTTCACATTTCTATTCCTAGCAACATTATTCACAATTATTGAGCATGGAAACACCTAAAATCTCCACAGACAGATGAATGGATAAGCAAAATGTGGTATCTATATACAATGAAATATTATTCAACCTTACAAAAGAAGAAAATCCTGACATATGTTACAACATGGATGAAGCTTGAAGACGTTTATGCTAAGTGAAATAAGCCAGCCACAAGAAGACAAATACTATGTGATTCCACTTATATGAAACATTTAAACTCATCAAAAGCATAGAACCAAAAGCAGAATGATGGCTTCCAGGGGCCGGGGGGAAGGGAAAACAGAGAGATGTTCAACAGATGTAGAGTTTCATGCAAGATGAAAACATTCTCTTTTTTATTATTTATTATTATTTTTTGAGACAAAGTCTCACTCTGTCACCCAGGCTGGAGTGCTGTGGCATGATCTCAGCTCACTGGAACCTCTGCCTCCTGGGTTCAAGCAATTCTCTTGCCTCAGCCTCCCAAGTAGCTGGGACTATAGGCACGCACCATCACATCCAGCTAATTTTTGTATTTTTAGTAGAGGTGGGGTTTCACTGTGTTGGCCAGGCTAGTCTTGAAATCCTGACCTCAAGTGATCTGCCCACCTTGACCTCCCAAAGTGCTGGGAGCCACTGCGCCCAGCCATGAGGAAAACATTCTATTGGCACTCACAGGATTTAAAAAAAAAAGAAAGAAAGAAAACATTCTAGAAATGTATTATACAACTATGTGAATATAGTTAGCATGATTGAACTATACACTTTAAAAATGTTAAGAGGGACCAGACACGTGACTCATGCCTGTAATTCCAGCACTTCAGGAGGCCAAAACGAGTGGCTCATTTGAGCCCGGGGAGTTTGAGGCCAGACCCGACAACATAGCAACGCTCCAATTTCTATAAAATAAATTTTAAAAATTCATGTTAAGAGAGTAAATTTATGTTATGGTTTTTCACCACAGGGGAAAAAAAAAATTAACGGCCTGAGAGATCGCAAATTTGAAAGCACGATGTGTATTTTTAAGTTAGAGTCATATGACCCAGTTTATGACTTAAAAGCTGTGCAACCTTTGGTAAAACTGCTTGCCTCCTTTGGGCCCCACGTGTAAAATACGAATAGTAACACACATCTATTTTCCCGGGCTTTTGTAAGCATCAAGTGAAATAAAGGATGTATAGTATTTAGAGAACAGTGGTTAAGAGCATACACTCTGGAGTCAGACAAACCTGGGTTCAAATCCTGCCTCTCTCACTTCCTGGCCACAGGACCACAGCCAAGTGTGTCCTCCCTCTGAGTCCCAGGCCCTTCCCTGAAAATGGAGCTGATAATGCCCAGGCACATGCCTCTCCAGAGTGGTGTGAAGAGTCAATGAAACAATGTGTATAAAGTCCTTATCAGGGCCAGGTGCAGTGGCTCATGCCTGTAATCCCAACACTTTGGGAGACCAAGGCAGGCTGGAGCAGGCCACCTGCAGGCTGGATATGCTCCCGGCCCGTCATTCCAGGTACATGTGGACATAGCCAGAGCCAGCCCCCTGTCCACCCCACATAACCACAGACACACCTGCACACACAAAGACACAACAGGAACCCAAGAAGGGCTGGTCAGAGAGGGGGCTGTAGCAGGGTCCCAGTATTTGCCCTTCAGGAGCTGGCTCCTCTCCTAACCCAGACACACACCCCCCAGGCCCGTCAAGGGGTGCTACCAGGCTGCTGTTCCACTGTTGCCCCCTCTGAGGCCGAAGCCTCCACCCACCTAGGGGATTGGTACAGGGGAGTGGGGGATGCCACCAAGAAAGAGAATGTCATCCACTTCAACAAGGCCTCCTTCACAGGCCTGGGGTGGGAGGGGGAAATCTCTGCTCCCTGTAAAAGGACAACAGGATTCCAGCTCTCCTCATACCTGCTTTTCACCCCATCACCAATCAGAGAAAACTCACTCCTGGAAGCACCTTTTGTCATGGATGCTATAAACTGTGAATTCCTTACTCCTTCAATGGCCAGATGGGGAAACTGAGGCCCGGGGATGAGAAAGGATTTTCCCAAGGTGAGTACAGTGAGGGCAGAACTGGGACCAGATACTAGGTCTCTGGTTCACCGTCCATTCCCTTCTAACCTCAACGATCTCTTCATCATTCATCTGTCCTGCGTATATTCTAAGCATATGCTCTGTTGCAAGCCCTGTGCTAAGGATAAAGGCTACAAGAGTGAACAAAACACAGTCCTCATCCCTGAGGTGCTCACAGCAGTTATCACGAGTCAGTGTTACAGGGAATGCATTGGTCCCCTTCGCGCAGCGTTTTCCGATTGACTAAGCACTTTCCTCCCCTACCTCTTATTTCATTCTTCCCGCAAACCCACAGGTCAGTTTTTGTTGTTGTTCTGTTTTTGGTTTTTTTGAGCCGGAATCTTGCTCTATTGCCCAGGCTGGAGTGCAGTGCTGCAGTCTCTGCTCAGTGCAGCCTCTGCCTCCTGGATTCAAGCAAATTCTCCCACCTCAGCCTCCCGAGTAGCTGGGAGTACGGGCTTGCACCACTACGCCCAGCTAATTTTTGCATTTTTAGTAGAGACAGGGTTTCACCATGTCGGCCAGGATGGTCTCAAACTCCCGACCTCAAGCGATCCACCCACCTCGGCTTCCCAAAGTGCTGGGATTACAGGCATGAGCCACCGCGCCCAGCCCACAGAGGTCAGTAGTTTAACCTCCAATCTGCAAAGGAGGAAAGTGGAACTTCCGAATGGCTCAAGGCCCCAGCTTGTCAGCAGGAGCTGAGATCAAAACTCCGGATGCCCACCTCAGTCCCAGGACTCATCTTCATCTACGGAGCTGACCTCTTTCTCCAGCTGGTTTGCCAGAACTTAAAGATAGTTGTGTCTTTTCTGCTTCCCTAGCACTCCCCAACACACCTCGTACCCCTCCTCCCCCAACACACACGCACACACACACACACACACACACACTCCCCACACACCTGGAACGCAGCTGGCTATTCAGTCAGAGCTAATGGAAAGCAGCCTAAAGGTGTGGGGAGAGCGAGCGCCTGCTAGTTCTGTCATATTTCCCAAGTGAGCAAGTGCACAACCCCATGTCTGGACCTCCTGCCAGCTGAGGACAGTGGGTGCCAGCCTGGGCCCTGTCCCCAGCACCTGGGACCTGATAGGGGCCACTGGTTGTGGGCTTGGCCCTTTGTATAATAACCTGGTTATTTTCAGCAACCTCTTCCCCACCTGGCAAACCTCGCATTTAGTGCATTCCTAAGTACTCCGCCCTGTACCAGGTCGTTTATATGTTCCAACAATTCTGTGGGGGAGATAGCATTATCCTTATTTGACAATTTAGAAAACTACACGGAGATGGAGTGTGACTTGCCCAAGACCACACAGCTTGTCAAGCAGATGTCATTTGGCTCCCCGAGATCCAAGCTGCCCCCATCGCCACCATCACCACCTCCCAGCGAGGTCTCTGCGGTCACCTCAGCACTGCCTCAGACTCAGAAAGCCAAAGATGGGTGTTGGGCTCTCCAGGAATGTTTGAACACAAGAAGTTATTTCTTTAACATGAGACTCCCAGATACTGTGGAGGCTGAGGTGGGAGGATCGCCTGAGCCTGGCAGGTCCAAGCTGCAGTGAACTGTGATCACACCACTGCACTCCCGCCTGGGCAACAGAGTGAGACCCGGTCTCAAAAAAAAAAAAAAAAAGAAAAGAAAAGAAAATAGAAGCACCCGCCTGTGCAGCCTAGCGGCATGATCTTGGTTTGCCTCCTGAGGACATTTTTATAGCCTCCCCCTTGCCCGCAGGGGCCAGGACCCCATCTTACCTGTAGCAGGGGCAGCGGCTGCAGCTGCAGGGCTGTGTGTCTCTGCCTGGTCCTGGCCCCAGCCTCAGCCTCTGTGCGTCTGGCAATTGCAGAAGTGAGGAAACAGAGTGTATCACCGCCAAGTCACCCCTGGGAGGAAACGCTGTGACCCTAGGGCCTCTCAGCGGGTGCCACAGGAACTTCCAAGCTGGGCCACCAGGACCTGGGGACTGCACAGAGACTCCTCATAGAGCAAGGGACGGGGTGGGGTATAGACAGCACCCAATGCCGGGGAGCTGAGGTGAGAAAGAGGAAAAGCAGGAGAGAGAAAGCAAATGAGAAAGAGAGCATGAGGGTGAGGAAGAGGAGGGAGGAGAGATGAGGGACCAGGAAAATGGAAGGAGAGACGGAGTGGGGTGGGAGGGAGTCAGGAAAAAAAAAATGAGAGGGTGGAGGAAGGGATGGGGGAGCGAGGCTCAGGAGAAAAGATGTAAACACTGGGAGTGATGAGAGGAACGAGGAGATACACGGACAAAGACCAGGGAGGGTCCACAACGAGACACAGACAGTGAGCGGGTGCCTGTGCGCTGCGTGTCTGTGTGTCTCTGGATGGGGGTGAGAGAGAAAATCAAAGACAGGGAGTGGAGGAAAGAGAGTGGCCTTGGGACATGAAATGGAGAGAGATGAGAGGCACTCAGAAGAGCCACTGTGGTGAGTGGCACGACTGGGCAGGGCATCCCTAGTGACCAAGAAGCATTGAGCCCAGAAATCCCACGGGAACAGAGCTGCGGGGCTGGAGGCGGAAGCTCCCTGAGATCTGGAGCCTGGGTTGGGCAGTGCGTGAGTTCATGGGAGCATGTGGGTGAAGTGGGGTGGGCAGTCGGGGGTGAACGCACATAAATGTGTGAATGTGAGTGTGAATGTGGGGGTATGTGTGAAAGTGAGCCGGTGGGAGCATTCTGTGTGCATAAGTGAGGGGTGAGCCAGAGTCCTGGCCTCAGTTTCCAATTCATTTACCCACTCACTTCTTTAACCAGCCAACAAGCACCTACTGAGTACCCCCAGGCACCAGGCCCAAGGGTACCTGTCTAAACAAGCAAGTCCCTCAGACACATCAGCCGAGCCAACAACCTCCTACACAGGGAGGGAGACTGAGGTCCCGACAGGACCAGGGTCCCACAGCAAGGCAGGTGCAAGCAGAGTCAGGGGCCTGCGTCAGCATCAGCCTCAGCTCCACGATGGGTGTCTGGGCCAGCCTCCTCCTCCTAATGTCCCTTATCAAAGCCAAAAAGGGCTCTCAAAGGACAAATCACCTTCTTTTTTTTTTTTGAGATGGAGTCTCGCTCTGTCGCCCAGGCTGAAGTGCGGTGGCAAAATCTCAGCTCACTGCAACCTCCACCTCCCAGTTTTAAGTGATCCTTCTGCAGAGTAGCTGGGATTACAGATGTGCACTGCCATGCCCAGCTAATTTTTTATTTTTAGTAGAGATGGGGTTTCACCATGTTGGCCAGGCTGGTTTTGAACTCCTGACCTCAAGTGATCCACCCGCCCTGGCCTCCCAAAGTGCTGGGGTTACAGGTATGACCCACCACACCCAGCTCATTTTCTTTCTTTCCCCGCTCCGCCTGCCAACTTTTGTTTGAATCAGGATCCAAGAAGATTAATGTAGCAATTAGTTGCTATGTCTCTTAATTCTCCTTATTTAATTAATTAATTTATGTAGAGGCGAGTTCTCACTGTGTTGCCCAGGCTGGTCTCAAACTCCTGTGTCAAGTGATCCTCTTGCTTTTTTGAGATGGAGTCTCGCTCTGTCACCCAGGCTGGAGTTCAGTGGTGCGACCTCAGTCTCACTACGTTGTCCAGGCTAATCTCAAACTCGTGACCTCTCAAGGTGCTGGGATTACAGGCATGCGCTCCTACCACTCCACCTCCTAATTCTCTGTTAATGAATAGTTTCTCCCTATGTCTTTTCTTCTTGTTTAGAAGTTATTTATTGAAGAAAACAGGTCGTTTGTTCTGGATGTTTCTTATCATCTGCGTTTGTTGAGCGAATCCCTGTGATCCATTTCCTTCTGGTAACAGGAGTAAACTGGTGGTTGAACTTGCTGATTCTACTTCGATTTCCTGGCAAGACTGTTTCATAGGTGGTGGTGTGAATCGCACATGCTCAGACACAACTTTGTTAGAAAATTTTTCAGACATAACACAAAAAGAGAAGGCAGAGTACAATACATCCTTGCGGTAGCTTCCTATGGCTGCTGTAAAAACGTTACCACAAACTTAGTGGTTTAAAACAACACACATTGGCCAGGTGTGGTGGCTCAGCCTGTAATCCCAGCACTTTGGGAGGCTGAGGCAGGCAAACTGCTTGAGGTCACAAGTTTGAGACGTCTCAAAAAAAATAAATAAATTTAAATAAATAAAGAAGTAAAATATTCTGCTCCACTCTCTGTTTCTCCCCTCCCTCCCTTTATTCCTCTTCCTTTCTTTCTTCTTCATACTCTCTGTTCATCCTTCTTTCTTTTCTTTGTCTTTCTTACTTTCTCTTTCTCCTTCCTTTCTTCGTATTTGGCTGTCACATTTTAAAGCAAATTCCACATATATGAACATTTTATCATATAGCTGTAACACCACTGTCTCCTAATAAAATTATCAAGAATTCCTTAGAATTATCTAAAATCCTGTCCATATACCAGTTTCCTTGATTTTCTCAGATATGTGTGTCCTGGCTATCTTCTGTTTTCTCCTCCAGACCCACTCTGGGAATGGTGCATGCTCAGAGTGCACTCCACCCTTCCTCACTCGGCTCTGCACCCCGAGAAGCTGCCCTGTATGGACCACATTCATTGTTCCCCTGTTTCTGGCTGGGCTCAGCCAACTGGTGGTGCTGATAAGACATCAGAGGATGAGAGAAAAGGTCGAGTATTTATTTCCTGGTTCCTCCCTGTCAGTTGCAGGATCAGCTGCAACTTTCTTTTTTTCTTTTTCTTTCCTTTTTTTTTTTTTTTTTTTTTTTTTTGAGACGGACTCTCACTCTGTCATCACCCAGGCTGGAGTGCAGTGGTGTGATCTCAACTCACTGCAACCTCTGCCGCATGGGTTCCAGTGATTCTCCTGCCTCAGCCTCCCAGGTAGCTGAGATTACAGGTGCATACCACCATGCCCAACTAATTTTTATTTTAGTAGAAACGGAGTTTCACCATGTTGGCCAAGCTGGTCTCAAACTCCTGTCCTCAAGTGATCTCCCTGCCTCAGCCTCCCGAAGTGCTGGGATTACAGACGTGAGCCTCTGTGTCCAGCCTCTTGAATCTCTTTTCATCTGAAACAGTCTCCTCTCTGTTTCTTGTGTGCTTTCATTTCATTTTATTTTTAACCTTTCTGTGTGTGTGTGTGTGTGTGTGTGTGTGTGTGTGTGTGTGTGAGGGTAGAGACAGGGTCTCATTATTTTTTGCCCAGGTTGGTCTCAAACTCCTGGGCTCGAGGGATCCTTCCACCTCAGTTTCCCAAAATGTTGGGATTACAGGCATGAGCCATTGAGACAGCCCGGTGTTTGTTTTTGTGTTCATGTGGTTGATTTCTGGAGAGAACTGGCTCCGTTATCCAGTAGAATGGTCTATATTCTGGAATTGGCTGATTGCTTCCTCGTGAAGTTCTTTAATTTATTCCTTTGTCCCTATATTTCCTGAAAACTGAGGTTAGACCTAAAGGCTTGAATAGATTCAAATTTGGACACACACACACACACATATACATATATATATATATATATATATATATATATATATATATATATTTTTTTTTTTTTCACCCAGGCTAGAGTGCAGTGGCACCATCTCGGCTCACTGCAACCTCCACCTCCCACGTTCAAGCTACTCTCCTGCCTCAACCTCCCAAGTAACTGGGATTACAGGTACCCAATACCACACCCGGCTAATTTTTGTATTTTTAGTAGAGATGGGATTTCACCATGTTGGCCAGGATGGTCTCATACTCCTGACCTCAGGTGATCCACCCACCTCAGCCTCCCAAAGTGCTGGAATTACTGGCATGACCCACCATATCCAGTGGGTTTCAATTTTTTATAAATAAAAAAGGGTTTCTTGTTGTTTGTTTTTTTAAGAAATTCAATTTGGTGTTTGTTTTTTAAAGCAATAGTTGTTGAGCTTTTGAGATCAGAACAGCAGTGAAAAAGAAAACTGTCCCAATATTATGCAGTGGATAACTTTCCTGTGATAGCGTCTTACTGGGACATTAAGTGCTACATCATGTTCAGTGTAGACGGAAGTGAACATGATGCAGCCTATAAAGCCCTGTTAAATGACGGAAGACGGGGCTATAACAGCAATGAAGACGATGGCATAAAAGATGCCTATAAAGGTTTAAATACATTTGTTTTATGAAATTTGAGTGAAAAAAAGAAATATTTATAAAATAACGAGCTATTGCACAATACAAGTATACAAGTAATTAAAGGAATAAATTAAATACCATAAGTAAGGCTGGGCACAGTGGTTCATGCCTGTAATGCCAGCACTTTGGGAGGCCAAGACGGGAGGATGGCTTGAGCTCAGGAGTTTGAGACGAGCCTGGGCAATGTGGTCAAACCACGTCTCTACAAGAAATACAACAACAACAAATGAGCTGGGTGTGGTGGTGCACATCTGCAGTCCTAGCTACTCGAGAGGCTGAGGTGGGAGGATCACTTGAGTGGGATAGGTTGAGGCTGCAGTGAGCTGTGATTGCACCACTGCCACTCCCACCTGGGAGACAGAGTGAGATCCTGTCTCCAAAAAATGTGTGTGTGTGATAGGTAGGCATTTGACTATAACCAGTGATTCTCAACCAGGGGCTCTTTTGCCTTCTAGGGACAACTGTCCATGTCTAGAGATATTTTTGGTGGTGACAACTGGCAGATGGGGAGGGGGTGGGGTTGTGCTGCTGGCATCTAGTGGATAGAGGCTAGGGATGGGGCTAAAAATATGACAGTGCACAGAACAGCCCCTACAACAAAAAATTACCTGGTTCAAAATGTTAATAGTACTGGAACTGAAAAACTCTAGCATATTAGCTATATTCCTAAGAGTTTCTATATATTCAAGTTGGCCTTTAAAAAATCTCTTTTGACATCTTATCGTTAATAAAGTAGGAGACTGCTTATTTTAAGG